CTAACATTTTTTTCAACTGTATGACAATAAAAGTTGGGGCAACAAAAGAAATAAATGGGCAGCTCAAGAAGGTATAGCTGAAACACATGGCAGACCATTTCTCTCCTCTCCTTCTGGCTGCTCTTTTGTAGGCTCTAGTTTGGTATCCTCAAGTCAATGGCTGAAATGCAGCCACCTTAGCAACTTACCCCAGCCCTCTCTCTTTACATTCATGAATAGTCAGCAAGCGGCAGACAAAATAGAACTAATCTTTTTTGACAGAATTGTTCAATTTGGGAGGAAAGGCTTTAGAGCCACCCTCCGTACAGTTGCAGAATACGAGCCAACAATGGATGTGATCAAATTTTACAAGAGGATGACCAGTGGGGCCCCTCGCCCCCACAAAAAAAAAGAGAAAATATCACACTTAAGTTCAAATGGTCGCAAACGCTGGAAACGGCGAAAGTGAAACCTGAAGAAGAGCTTTGTGCCACTCCAGAACTGGTCTCTTTCACCAACAGAAGTTAGTCCAATAAAAGATATTACCTCGCCCGTCTGGTCTCGCTAATATCCTGGGACCAAGACAGCTACACAACACTGCAAATTAAAATCTGGCAAGCAAAAAAAAAATGTATTTCTCTTACTGTGATAAGGCATTACGCACACCCCCACAATGATAAATGTGTGATTTTTTTTGATTAAACAAAATTAAAAGTTTCAATGAATATCCAATATTTATTTCCTGTCATAGGCTGATAACTTCATCTTTTTGGACTGACGATTCTTATTTCAAAATGCATTCAGTTCAGCAGGATCTTGTGTGTGTTTAAAACTGGTTTTGCCATTTAGAAATCCCGTAATACACCAGCCACTCACAAGTCTAGCATGTGCTAAAAAGGACATTCCGGGCCCCCCTGCTCTATTTAGCGCAAGCCTCCTCTCTATCTTTGAATACAGTCTGAACAGGAGGGCGGGGGTGGGGGGAATCTCCCCAGTCCATGGGCAAAAACAGAAGTTAGCAACATGGTCCATGCAGCTGCAACATTGCATTTAAAATTCAGTTTACTCATAGGAAGAGGGCTAATCCTGCCCCTGTAATTCCCTACAGCCAAAATGTACCCCCTCCCTGAGTGACAGTGCAATGCAAAGACACTCGCACGCTTATCTTGCCCAACCAGATGGCCGACTTGGATCAATGCACACACGCCACGATCAATGGGAGCGATAAAGAATTAGGAAAACAGTGGTACATGCTCCCAGAAAGCTTGTACACTGCATAATTATTTTATGATTCTACACATGGCTACATGTGATACTGGAATCGAGACGGAAAGGATAATTAGAGTGCCAGAAAGAATTTTGTACTGCACTGCACACTTTGTCAGTCAGCAGTTCCCACTCCGGAAAACTCACTGCTGGGTTTTGTGTGTGTGTGTGTGTGTGTGTTTTAATGAAGTTAGGAATATGTAAAATATTATGGGGAGGTTCTTCCTCTGTCTTATAGTCACAAGATGCATGAGATTACTGGGTCCTGTGATATAACACCAAAAGTTTTGTCCAAAGGTTGAGGGTGATCACGAGATTTCCCAGGCACCACTTACATTAATGAATGCTGGTGCGCCATCTGAGGAGAGACATAAGATTACCATCTTAGGCTGTAATGAAGGAAGGTTACATTCGAACATTCCCAGTGCTTTGTCATAAGAGGGAAGTATTCACATCTGAATGTCTCATTCATTCAGTAAAATATAACTGTATACGTTACTACCTTATTCCTCCCCCCCACCCCCCGCCACCACCTTCTTCCAGCAGCTAGTTTTTTGATTGGCTCCTTATTTCTACCTCATTTGTGACCAGGCTGCCTTACAGCAACCAGAGAGGAATGACCTAGCCCCAACTCAACAAATGGCAGAGAATAATATCAAAGTGCTATTGTGAATTCAGATGCCAAAAATCACATGACAAAGATTAGAACCAGCCCAATACAATGCAGAAATCAGTCCTTTGTGGCAATGAAAGGAACAAGACATGAAATAATAGCACTGAACACTTTTATAAAGTGTTTTTTCCATCTTATTAACATGCACCAACTAATCCTTCCCATGCCTCAGGGGTGTGTGTATTATTGTCCCTATTTTACAGAGGGGAGAAATAGAGGTGAAATTAAGTGACTTGCCCAATGCCAACAAAAGCAGAGACAAACTGTGATGATAACACACACTCAGCCACATGTGCCACCAAAATACCCATCTCGCATCATCGTCGCCCTTCAAAATGATGCCCTGATCACAGCAGGGAAAACAAACAACTGGACCAAACCAGTGTCTCATCATCACTGAGAACCATCACCATGACATAAAGGAGGAGAAAATGCGTGAAGCTGTGTGAATGATGAGAAGAAGAGAGGAGACAGAAGAAAAAGCCAGACTCATTAAGTAAGGATGGGCTCTCTCTTTTTAACGGGGCCTCCTCCCATCCCAACTTACACTAAAGTCAAACCACCTGGCATGTGGCATTTTCTGCAGATGGATTAGGCGTGGTGGGCACACACACAGCTGTGCATCCCTGGCACTCAGGTTTCTGTTCGAATTAGCTAATTAGCCATCTGACAGAGTGATTTTTTTTTGGGAGATCACCCAGAATCGCTTCACAGAACTGGGTAGAGGGATTCATGGTCGGCAAAATAGAGCAATCCCCTTTGCGTCCTGCTCCCACACCATAATCCTCCTAAAGGGGCCGGGGTAGAATTTGTGGGAGGTTCCCAGAATTATTTCCAAGGAAGCGAGGTACTTACTTTTTTAATTTAAATAAACAAGGCTTTTTGGTCTGCCAAAATGCCACCAGCAGGTTGTCTTCTCTCTCTCAATGCACAAGGCACACAGGCTGGCTGAGGGACAGCTGGACTCAAATTCCAGTCTGACCTCTTTCTTCCTGAACTGTCAGTAAGTAGGCGCACTGAACACCTGGGGCTCAGGGGCTGAGGCAGAAGGAGTGTTCAAATGTGGCCCGGTGGCTGTCAGCGCTGTCCAGTCTCCATTTGTCAGGTTGGTGGCTGTCACATGGGGCCAGGGGCCATAATAATGGGTGAGGGGTGGATGGAAATGGGGAAGATCCTCAGAGTTCCCCAAGGGATATGGAGGGTTTAACTCCAACCCCACAGAAAAGTCATAATCCTGGAAGCACAGTGACTGCACAAATAGGAGCAGATGTTCAGAGAAGGAGGGTGAAAACACACAGAAATAAATAATACTACCTACTTCCTCTATGGTGCTTTTCCTTAGTAGATCTCAAAGTGCTTTACAAAAGAACTGTCATTATTCCCATTTTACAGAGGGATAGGGTAGTGAACTGATTTACCTAGGCCAAAGCAGGAATGGAACCCAGGTCTCCTGAGTCCTAGCACAGTGCTCTATCCACTTGGCCACACTGCCTTCCCAATGACAATCATGCTATTTTCAAAAACAGACACTTTTGGAATGATTTTTTTTTTCAGGGTTGTGAAATACTGGATCAAAAGACAAATGTGTGTACTTTTAACAAGGCAAGCTGGTGTCACTCTCGCTGGCTTCTGACTCGATAGCAACGAGTGCACCTTTCTCAAGTCAAATGGGAGGCTTCGTCCCAGGAAAGGAATATTCTGAATGCATTGATTGTGAAACACTGAGCGATTGTCATTAACGTGCACTCTGAGCAAGCGAGCGGCTCTGAGCGCGTCTATGGTCATTCAGCTTCCCTCATCACTCCAAGCACCGTCCAATACACTGAACATTCATTCCATTGGCATACACCGAGCAAACTCTACTTTGTGCACCAGTATACGAACAAACATTTTGTACCTATCGGAAAGTTTTGATTGATGACATAAAAACCTGGGACATTTAACGTGTGTTGAAAGCCATTCCTAGGGCCCAGCCCTGGGATATCATATGGACTATCCGGTCAAATGGGGCTATGTGGTCATTTTAAGTCGTATTGCAGCTAACTAAGGGATCAAGCCAAAGTCCACTGAAATCAGTAGGAAGATTCCCATTGACTTCAAGTGACTGTGAATCAGGCCCTCAGGATTCCTTCCTGATCTTTGCAGCAAATTCTTTATGCCCTGAAACTTACACTCTGGTTATCCTAGTGATGACTTCACCCTGCATAGCCACAAACTTTATTAATGTTAATTAAGGATACGTTTTTGTCATGGATATTTTTAGTGCAAGTCATGGATAGATCATCGGCAATAAACAAAAATTCACGGAAGCCCGTGACCTGTCCCTGACTTTCACTAAAAATACTGACAAAAGAGGTAGGTGGGTTCAGCACCCACTGCTGCTGAGGCTCCTAGGTTCCCCACCGCTGCGATGCATGGGAGCTCCGGGGTCCTCCTGCCCACGGGGCAGCTGTAGCTGCAGGGTCCCCCCACCACGGCTGGGCAGCTGCCGGAGGTCCTCGCTGCCTGCTACATCTGGGCAGCTACAGGGTTTCCCCCCACAGCCCGCCATGGCTGGGCAGCTGTGGCAAGTCCCCATTGCCTGCCGTAGCTGGGCAGCTGTGGGGTCCCCAAACCAGGGTAGGGCCTGAGAGCACGGCTGGCTGGGAGCTCCAGCCCTGGGGCAGAAAATGTCATGGAGGTCAATGGGAGTCACAGATTCTGTCACTTCCGTGACCTCCATGACATAATTGTAGCCTTAGTGTTAATGAAACAGACCCAGTCTTTTTGATAGCCCAACAGCAGCAATTAACACAGTGATTCCCTGCCCTGCTTAAAGCAGTATTTTCTTTTATTGGTTCTAAATTTACTGCCTTTCAAGTATTCCCTTGGGTCTCTTATTAGAGGGCTGCTAACAAGAACAGAATGAGTAGCTTCTACTAGGCCCCTCTCCACCAGATCATAGAATATCAGGGTTGGAAGGGATCTCAAGAGGTCATCTAGTCCAACCCCCCCACTCAAAGCAGGACCAATCCCCCATTTTTGCCCCAGATCCCTAAATGGCCCCCTGAAGGATTGAACTCACAACCCTGGGTTTAGCAGGCCAATGCTCAAACCACTGAGCTATCCCTCCCCCCACTATCCTCCTTTTCTGTTGCAGATCTCACCACCTTCCTCCTTTTCCATTGCAGTGTTTGAAATCGGCGGTTCTCTCCAAGTTTCTTCTCACCTATTAGTCTCTCATGTCATTCTTAATGCTTGGTTGCTTGCCATACACATTGTATCCCAGCGACGCCAGGCTTTCTTCTCTAAAAGAAATTTTCCAACTATCCTGTGGGTTTGCCGGTCACTGGAGGATTTGTGTGGCTCCGCCGTCAGCTGTCTCCAAGGTAAGGAGTGAAGCCTGGGATAATGCAGATGGAGAGGGGGTTGCTCAGTTTAATAGAGGGCCACCAATGGGGTCTACAGCCCTGAAAGAGACCTTTGTCAGGCACAGGAGAAAGCTCTGAGCTGCAAATAGGCTGCCAGTCCTACTGTGGGCAGTACATGTTCAGAAAAGGAATCTGGGGAGTTCAGCAGGAGGGATGAGGACCTTAAAGGTTCAGTACCCAGAGCAGGAAAGAAATATCTTATAGATGCCTTGACATAACTCTCAGACTTCAAAACTGGCAACAAAGGCCCCTGAAGCGTTTGAAAATGGACAGAATTTGGGCTACCCCCATTCTGTCGTGCATCGTGCCATAAGTAACGGATAATAAAGGTTGGGGATTTTTTTTAAAGCATCAAACCTGTTTTTAAAGATGTTTTCGCATTATGTGAATCAAATGAACTGCTTTGGCAATGTGTGACTCGTTAATTGGGGTAGCTATCCTGTTACAGACTATAAAACTCTTCCTGTGATTCACACACACTGAGAAAACAGTCTGAAGAACAGGTTTTAACATTACAGACTATTGCTCACAGTAGAGTGTGACATACAACCGAACACAGGTGCGCCACCATAGGGGCCTGAGGGCAGAGCTCCACTCCATCTTCTCAGGAGGTGCCTGAAGGAGGCAGGCTTAAGGGTAGGGTGTTCTCTGCCCAGACGGCCCTCATATTCAATCTACGCTGTCCTCCCCCTACAATTAGTGAAGCCTTACCGTTCAATTCATGCCCTCCACCCCACAAACTGCCTGCCTGCGTAGCACATAATTCATAGCACCAGACTGGCCCCACTATCTCCCCAACGATTAATACTGGTGCTGCTTCCCCACCCACAATCAATTAACACAGCTCTCTGTCCCTCATAATTAAGGCTACGTTTTAGTTACGGGTATTTTTAGTAAAAGTCATGGACAGATCACGGGCAGTAAACAAAAATTCATGGCCCAACACCTGTCCACGACTTGTACTATATACCCCCTGATTAAACCCTGGTAGGCGGGTGTGGCCCTGGGGTGCTGCGGGTGCTTGGGGGGAGCAGCCCGGGACCCCCACTGGTGCTGGAGGGGAGGCACGTGGGGCTGGCAGGCTCCCTACCCAGCTCCTCGCAGCTCCCCAGAAGTGACAACGTGTCCCTCGCTCAGCTCCTAGCTCCGCACGCAGGCCCCGCCCCTAGTGCCGGCTCCACAGCTCCCATCAGCAGGGAAATGCTGTCCTAACATCCAAACCCTCCACCCTGAATTCAACAAAAGGTCTTGCCATATCTATCTGTTGCCTCTTTAGTTTTTTCTTGGCCTACTCATGGGCGCTGGAGACAAGGAGGGTATGAAAGAAAATCACATTGCTGGGGACACTGTTTATGAGCATGTCCTCCCTATCTGCAACAGGAGAAAATACAGTTTCAATTCTGCCTTTGAGAAACAAATCAGGCAATGTTTCCTTCTGGCACATTTGCTGGAGCTGGGCCATACAAATGGGTCAGACTGGAAGCTTGGCCATCGTGGGGTAACAGACATGCGATTGACTGATGGATGTGGTGAGACAGATGATGACGTTACTCACGAGTCCCTTCTCTTCTTCCTCTTCCGCCTCCTTCTTCTGATCGAGGCTCGTGACATCTGAAAGCAGATAAACAAAAGTGATTCTTGAGGCATGCTTAGAATCACTTTATAGCACCAATCATGCTGAATCTTACTCACGGCAGTGTTAACCATGATTAGCCAGCACTTTTACTGACTGCTTTCTGCTCTTAGACTCTATAAAAACCCCCTTCAAAGGTTCAGTGCTTAAGACCTTACTGTTACTTCTCCTGTCTTCATGTCACAATTGGAGCCTATATAATGTGCAATGAGTGGATGGCACCATGGCAGGGCAGGAGTTGCTTGGGCTGTAAACAGACAGGTCTGGAGTCACTTTGAAAAAACGTTCCTAGATGGCCTGGTGGCTTAGCTTCTCCCTAATGGATCCCTCTTCCCAACCCAATCCGAACTAACTCACACTAAAAACAATTGTCACTTAATGCAAATGCATCAGTAGCGATACACGTGCACCTGTGCATATGTAACTCCCACTGGCTGAATGTCTCCCTCTAGGGGTTGGTCTACACAAGAGGTTAAGAGCTTTCTACAGCTACCAGTTCATGGAGCTACTTTTTTAGCTGTAGAAGATGCTCATGCTTTTACAAGGGGAGGGACAGGTTCAAACCTCACTGGTAGCACATGCAGGGAGTCATTATACACACACAATGGTGTTTCACTCCAGATTTGGGAAGCTGTCGGGTTTTTTGGGTATGTGTGGTAAGAATGCTGGGAATCAATCACAACTAGAGCTGGCTAAAAATTGTTCATTGACACTGTATTAAAAATTGTCTTTTGAAATGAAATTAACATTTTTGTGGCGGGAAAAATTGTTTCCTCTGAAATTTTCCAGCATTAAACCAAAAACTGAAAACATTTCAGATTTTCAATCAGTCATTTTGTGGTAAAAATTTGTGCTGAGGGTTTCCTAGAACTGAAGATGAGTACCAAAAGTGAAACACATTCAGTTTTTGAAAAGCATTTTTCAGTTTCAGTTTAAAAAAAATAATCAATAAATAAGTTGTAGGAAATTTAAACAAAAAAATGTTTTCTAAAATTTTCCGTGAAAAACAATGGTCCTTTCTCAAGCAGCTTGAATTACAGCACCAGTGTTTCACAGACCAGCAGCGGGTCCTCTCCTCTCGCAGTACAGGTTCTGTGGTTAACCCAGAGAATTACTTTCTTTACAGATTAGCAGGGTTGGTACTTGTTTTCAGAACAGGATAGTGGTGTAATTAGAAAGGGAAGAGGGAGGTGCCCCATCTCCAGTTTGGAGCTTTGATCTGTACATGAATTCGGCAGGCTGGTGTTTGCGTGAATCCATTTCTCCAATGTAATTTGATTACTGGCTATGCGGTGGCAGCCATTTTGAGTAAGTGTTTACTCTCTCCTGCCACACTAGCTGTAGTTCACGAAAGCTCATGCTCAAATAAATTGGTTAGTCTCTAAGGTGCCACAAGTACTCCTTTTCTTTTTACTGAGTCTATGTGAAGTCCCACATTCACTACCCCATCGTGCTCCAGATCCCTGTGCTGAGTCAGCCACTCACTGGCTGGCTACCTCAAACTTTCCCCCACTCAGTTGTTCCCTCCCTTCCATTACAGTCTTGTTATCTAGATTCAGTGTCCTCCAGCTAAGGATAAGCAATATTTGGGATGGAAGGAATAATGAAAAGGCCCAGATCCTCAGTTGCAGTCTAGAAACTCATGGTGCCCCTTTCTGTGCCCTCCTCTGACCTTGTGTGCACCTGTTGGTTCTCCCAGTGTAGAATATAATAACCTGAGTGAGGATTTAAATTACACTAATGGCCCCAAGGGAAAGTTATAGCTGCCAGGGATCAGTGGGGTGTGTGGAAACCCTGATTGTGTCCCCTTTTCATTTACCAGAGCTCTTCTGCAGGTTGCAGGGAGAGGACAGCACTGGAGCCATTAGACAGGCACTGTGATACCAGAAGGTTTCCCCTACATCGGGACGACTCTCCCACTGCCATACATGCCAGCTTTAGAACTGCTTTGGTCCAGTGGCTTAGCACAGAGTGGTTCGAATGCAAGGTGAATGCAGGCCAAAGAACCTAGACTTGTTAGAAAGAATCCTAAAAGAAGTGGATGTGCGTTAGACCTTCCGTAGCTACTTCCTTTGCCTTTTATCAGTCCCTTCAGTGGAGGAGAAAGAGGAGAAAGCGAGCACTCACTGTTGCTCAATTGTACCACTATTGCACATTGACACATTTGCAGGCTATCACAGAAGGACTCTTTGTAGATGAAGCCTGAGTGTTGTAGTCTGTCATTACGGGTTCCACACTTATGTGGTCAAATTTTCAAATGTGGGTGCCAAGGGCATCTATGTAAACTGTGATCAGACCCATTAAGCCCAGAAAAACCCAACGTGACTGCAGAGAGTAGCACACCGAGTTGGGCAGCTATCGGACCCACCACTCCTGGAAAAATTTTGGTCCACAGACCACAGTGCAAATTTAGCCAGCGTTAGATATATTGGGTGAAATTCTGGCTTCACTGAAGTCAGTGGCACAACTTCCATCTGTTACGATAAAGGTAAAACAAAAAAAAAGTAAAAAAAAGTTCCCTGCATCAGTTGTTGATATTTGGAGACCTTCAGTTGCCAGAGATGGAACTGGTCCTATAGATAAGTCAGCAATCCATTTTCCTTATTTTGTCCGTGTTTTTCCTCTCTTGGCTCTTGCAGGGCTAAGAATCATATTTCTTGCTCTTCTCTTCCATCATTTCCTGCCTGACTTTAGGTTCCAGGTTTGGCCCTGAACAATAACACCTTCATTATAAAGCTGCACCCTGAAACCAGGCAGCTTTCCAGAAAATATTAGTGCCATCTCCTATAAAACACATGCTATTTGTTTTTAGTCTCCCTTCTGGTTTTACACCTTGAAAAGAGGACGTTTAATATGTACAGTAGAATTAATCGGGATGGAGTGTAAGCAGGACTTACATTCAAAATACACTTCTGCAAAACAAAGGAGCAGCTGTGAAAATGTAGAGTCTGCAGACCGTTTTTTACTTGGGTATCACATTTGCTAAAAGATTTGCTCTGCAAAGTTTTATCTAATTTCCCATTCATTCAATTAAGCGGGGAGATAACTGTGCGGCTCCCAAGAGATTAGGGAGAACTGAGTTTAGCTCCTTCTTACCCTTGTGATGCAGGGACTTCTTCAGTTTCACTGTTACAGCTAAGCTAAGGCCTTGATCCTGCAAGATGACAAGCACCCTCCACGTTCACCAACAGGGGCAGCGCCAGGCTCTTCCCAGTGGAGAGGGGAGGGACTGAGGTGGGCTAGACAGAAAATTGCGGGGGCTGCATCCCCCTCGCTGTGGCCCTGCCCCTGCTCCTCCTCAGGTAAGTGCCGGCCCTGCCTCCTCCTCTCCCCCCCCGAGGCCCCGCCCCGTGGCCAGGTTGGAGGCCAGAAGCTGGAGCCAGGCAGTGTGAGGAGGCTGCTGCCTTCCCTCGTCTCCTCTTCTTGCTGATGCTGTTGGTGCCTGGGGCTGTGGCTGCTCCTCCGATCCCTGTCAACTGTTCGCAGCTGGTAACAGCTGCGTAGTCGGGGGAACCCGGCTCTGGGGCTGGCAGAGGCCTCAGGGAACAGTGACCATTTATTTGCATGGAGATACTGTCCAGAGGCCCCAATCCCAATGTGCCTGGCACTGTACAAATAGACAGACAGTCCTTGCCCCAAAGATTTCATACTCCTAATTCTGTATTCTGTGGGTGTCTCCTACTACCCAACTCACATGGCAGTACCCCCACACGGAAAGGTGGAGTGCATTCCCCGCACTCAAGAGTTTGGAGGCTAGTTCAGTCTCCAGCCTTATTCAATCCTTGACCTCTAGTTAAATGTCACAATGGCTCTCAAACGCTTCTTGTTCCCTCCTCGCCTAGAAATTGTAGCACTGTCAGGTTCTAAAACAATAGCAGCTACTGTGCCTATTCCGTGCAAACACTTGATAAGGGTGAGGCTGCTGGTGCACTGAGACCCCTGACAATGCTATTATACTGACAATGTTGTCGCATTGTTTCCTTGTGGTCCCTTCTCCCCATATATCTGTCAGTATCCCCCGGTGTGTCTTATTTTATACTTAGTTTATAAGTTCTTTGGGGCAGGGGCTTTTTGTTGTGTGTTTGTACGGCACTGAACACAACGTGGCCCTGATCTGTGACTTGGACTCCTAGGAAATACCACAATATCAATAATAACAATATCTGGCTCAGGCCATATTGTGATGCCCTTATTCACCAGTGGATTCAAAATGTCTCCTCGAATGAATAATGGTTGCTGGTTTGGGCCCCAAGTAATTGCAAACATTGCCATTTGAGGATGTTAATTGATGAACATAAAAATAGGTCACTTATTTGTCACAGCAGAAAAGTTTTTGGTCACGCAAATTCTACTTCACACATGTTAGGACGTTGTTGTTGCTTGTGAGAAACTGAAGAAAACAAGACAAACAACAGAAAAGATACAAAATATTTTCTAACCTGTATCAGAAATTTTGGTTTACTGGTAAGTTTTGTCTTGTTTTGATCCGTTCTGAAACAAAGAGCAACTCGTTCCCCCCCCCAAAAAAGTGCTTAGTCAAGCCAGGGTTGTGGTGCTCGTTATCGTGCATATGCTCTCGATCAAAGAGAAAAACATTATTTTCTTTGAAGTTCGTTTGTTGAATTTAGGCGCGAGTCAATGCTGGGCACACATTAATCAGACAAACCACGTCTATAGAGAAGCTTATCATTGCACAGTGAAAACAGAGTAGGCACTAAAGATGCTCAATGGGCTTTTCATAGGACATATCTATTTTCTTCCTGCTATCATTCCATTTCACTTGGAAAGTTCTTACTGGCCCTTCAAGAGGGAACCCTGGCTTTGTCTCGTTCTACCTAGTGGGGAGCAGGGTGGAGAAGAAGGAGGGTAAAGAGCTACCACCAGCCATTTTGAACAGATTCCTCCAGGAGCTGCTCCTTTGTAAAGTCTGAAACCAATGTGAATATCAATGACTGTGAGGAAAGAGAGGCCCAAAGAA